ATATATATATATATATATATATATATTTTTTTTTTTTTTTTTTTTTTTTTTTTTCAACAAGTCGGTCGTCTCCCACCGAGGCAGGGTGACCCAAAAAAGAAAGAAAATCCCCAAAAAGAAAATACTTTCATCATCATTCAACACTTTCACCACACTCACACAGTATCACTGCTTTTGCAGAGGTGCCCAGAATACAACAGTTTAGAAGCATATACGTATAAAGATACACAACATATCCCTCCAAACTGCCAATATCCCAAACCACTCCTTTAAAGTGCAGGCATTGTACTTCCTATTTCCAGGACTCAAGTCCGACTATATGAAAATAACCGGTTTCCCTGAATCCCTTCACTAAATATTACCCTGCTCACACTCCAACAGATCGTCAGGTCCCAAGTATCATTCGTCTCCATTCACTCCTATCTAACACGCTCATGCACGCTTGCTGGAAGTCCAAGCCCCTCGCCCACAAAACCTCCTTTACCCCTCTTTCCAACCCTTTCGAGGACGACCCCTACCCCTCTTTCCTTCCCCTATAGATTTATATGCTTTCCATGTCATTCTACTTTGATCCATTCTCTCTAAATGACCAAACCACCTCAACAACCCTCTTCTGCCCTCTGACTAATGCTTTTATTAACTCCACACCTTCTCCTAATTTCCACACTCCGAATTTTCTGCATAATATTTACACCACACATTGCCCTTAGACAGGACATCTCCACTGCCTCCAACCGTCTCCTCGCTGCTGCATTTACCACCCAAGCTTCACATCCATATAAGAGTGTTGGTACTACTATACTTTCATACATTCCCTTCTTTGCCTCCATAGATAACGTTTTTTGACTCCACATATACCTCAACGCACCACTCACCTTTTTTCCCTCATCAATTCTATGATTAACCTCATCCTTCATAAATCCATCCGCCGACACGTCAACTCCCAAGTATCTGAAAACATTCACTTCTTCCATACTCCTCCTCCCCAATTTGATATCCAATTTTTCTTTATCTAAATCATTTGATACCCTCATCACCTTACTCTTTTCTATGTTCACTTTCAACTTTCTACCTTTACACACATTCTCAAACTCATCCACTAACCTTTGCAATTTTTCTTTAGAATCTCCATAAGCACAGTATCATCAGCAAAAAGTAACTGTTTCAATTCCCATTTTGAATTTGATTCCCCATAATTTAATCCTACCCTCTCCCGAACACCCTAGCATTTACTTCTTTTACAACCCCATCTATAAATATATTAAACAACCATGGTGACATTACACATCCCTGTCTAAGACCTACTTTTACTGGGAAGTATTCTCCCTCTCTTCTACACACCCTAACCTGAGCCTCACTATCCTCTTAAAAGCTCTTTACAGCATTTAGTAACTTACCACCTATTCCATAAACTTGCAACATCTGCCACATTGCTCCTCTATCCACTCTATCATATGCCTTTTCTAAATCCATAAATGCAATAAAAACTTCCCTACCTTTATCTAAATACTGTTCACATATATGCTTCAATGTAAACACTTGATCTACACATCCCTTACCCACTCTGAAGCCTCCTTGCTCATCCGCAATTCTACATTCTGTCTTACCTCTAATTCTTTCAATAATAACCCTACCGTATACTTTTCCTGGTATACTCAGTAAACTTATTCCTCTATAATTTTTACAATCTCTTTTGTCCCCTTTCCCTTTATATAAAGGGACTATACATGCTCTCCGCCAATCCCTAGGTACCTTCCCCTCTTTCATACATATATATATATATATATATATATATATATATATATATATATATATATATATATATATATATATATATATATATATATATATATATATATATATATATATATATATATATATATATATATATATATATATATATATATATATATATATTATATATATATGCAATAAGATCAGAGTAAACAGGTGATTTCAGAATATGCAAAACAACCACTGTGAAAGAATAGAGAAATTCCAAGCGCTTTCGTGACTACTCACATTATCAAGGAACATTGTTCCTTGATAATGTGAGTAGTCACGAATGCGCTTGGAATTTCTCTATTCTTTCACAGTGGTTGTTTTGCATATATATATATATATATATATATATATATATATATATATATATATATATATATATATATATATATATATATATATATATGTGTGTGTGTGTGTGTGTGTACTCACCTACTTGTACTCACCTAGTTGAGGTTGCGGGGGTCGAGTCCGAGCTCCTGGCCCCGCCTCTTCACTGATCGCTACTAGGTCACTCTCCCTGAGCCGTGAGCTTTATCATACCTCTGCTTAAAGCTATGTATGGATCCTGCCTCCACTACATCGCTTCCCAAACTATTCCACTTACTGACTACTCTGTGGCTGAAGAAATACTTCCTAACATCCCTGTGATTCATCTGTGTCTTCAGCTTCCAACTGTGTCGCCTTGTTACTGTGTCCAATCTCTGGAACATCCTGTCTTTGTCCACCTTGTCAATTCCTCTCAGTATTTTGTATGTCGTTATCATGTCCCCCCTATCTCTCCTGTCCTCCAGTGTCGTCATGTTGATTTCCCTTAACCTCTCCTCGTAGGACATACCTCTTAGCTCTGGGACTAGTCTTGTTGCAAACCTTTGCACTTTCTCTAGTTTCTTTACGTGCTTGGCTAGGTGTGGGTTCCAAACTGGTGCCGCATACTCCAATATGGGCCTAACGTATACGGTGTACAGGGTCCTGAACGATTCCTTATTAAGATGTCGGAATGCTGTTCTGAGGTTTGCTAGGCGCCCATATGCTGCAGCAGTTATTTGGTTGATGTGCGCTTCAGGAGATGTGCCTGGTGTTATACTCACCCCAAGATCTTTTTCCTTGAGTGATGTTTGTAGTCTCTGACCCCTGGACTGTACTCCGTCTGCGGCCTTCTTTGCCCTTCCCCAATCTTCATGACTTTGCACTTGGTGGGATTGAACTCCAGGAGCCAATTGCTGGACCAGGTCTGCAGCCTGTCCAGATCCCTTTGTAGTTCTGCCTGGTCTTCGATCGAGTGTATTCTTCTCATCAACTTCACGTCATCTGCAAACAGGGACACCTCAGAGTCTATTCCTTCCGTCATGTCGTTCACAAATACCAGAAACAGCACTGGTCCTAGGACTGACCCTGCGGGACCCCGCTGGTCACAGGTGCCCACTCTGACACCTCGCCACGTACCCTGACTCGCTGCTGTCTTCCTGACAAGTATTCCCTGATCCATTGTAGTGCCTTCCCTGTTATCCCTGCTTGGTCCTCCAGTTTTTGGCCCAATCTCTTGTGTGGAACTGTGTCAAACGCCTTCTTGCAGTCCAAGAAAATGCAATCCACCCACCCCTCTCTCTCTTGTCTTACTGCTGTCACCATGTCATAGAACTCCAGTAGGTTTGTGACACAGGATTTCCCGTCCCTGAAACCATGCTGGCTGCTGTTGATGAGATCATTCCTTTCTAGGTGTTCCACCACTCTTCTCCTGATAATCTTCTCCATGATTTGTGTGTGTGTGTGTGTCTGTGTGTCTGTGTGTGTGTGTGTGTGTGTGTGTGTGTGTGTGTGTGTGTGTGTGTGTGTGTGTGTGTGTGTGTGTGTGTGTGTGTGTGTGTGTGATAATAAAAATTCTACACATATCAGATCACGTGTAGATTATGTAGATGGGATGTTAAGAGACATATAGCAGGAGATGTAGAGAAAGATCATGGCTCTACACTCCATCACACTGTTATCTTGTAACAAAATATTGTGTGTTATCTTGTGACATATATTTTGCTTTCCTTTGATATATTCACTGTGCTGTCCTGTAACAAATACACTGCAGTATCCTGTAACAAATGCACTGTTATCCTGTAACAAATACACTGTGGTATCTTGTAGCAAATACACTCTCATCGTGTAACAAACATGTTACAATATCCTGTAACAGATACACTGCATTACAAACATACTACAACAAAGATACTGTATTATTTGTAACAAATACAACAACATCTGTCCATCTGTTCTTGTTTTTCCTGTGTAAGAAGACACACACAAACACATACATTAAATTCTGGGGAAATATGATCACGACGTAGAGGATACTTGGAGAACTTAAAAGAGAAGAGTGAGAAAAGACGGAGAGGCGGGAAGCATTTCACGAGAGCACAAAAATGAATTACAGGGGTGTGAAAATGTACTGCTCCAGTCTCAGGGTGGCCAGGTGCAGGAGGAGCTAGGTACCTGTGTCTTCTGGCTGTACTGCAGCCTTGACGGAACATTGCAAGAATATACAAGGACACACACACACACACACACACACACACATGTTGTCATACCTGTGAGGGGTACACATGTGAGTGGTGCACATGGATGAGAGTGGTGCATATGATTATGAGAGGTTCATATGGGTACGAAAAATACACAGGTGTTTCGTACACAGATGTATGATGTACATATGTGAGTGGTACACTTGAGTGTGAGTGGTACACTTGACTGTGAGTAGTACACATGAGCATGAGTGGTACACATGATTGTGAGTGGTACACATGAGTGCTAAACTTATACAGGTGCTCTGAGATACACATGGGTGTACAAGTGTTTTAGTGGTAGCAGTGATGGTATTAAAGCAAAACAAACCTTGATGCAGCAGCATGCTGGTTACTGTGGGAGAGAGGGAGTGGTGGTGCGGGATGCTGGTGTTTGGGGTGGGATGTGGGTGGTCATGCAGCACGGACGTGGGCGTGGGACGCCCCTACCAGCAGGGTGGGCCGCCATGGGCCCCCTCGCAGGTGCACCGGCGGAGATGGGCGTGTAGGGTGGGAGTGGAGCAGGGGTGACCGCCGCGCCCACACACGCCACAGCATGCAGGGGAGCAACAACCACAGCTACCGTTCACTACCAGACATCTCTGCTAACTGCTTCTGGCTACAGGTCTAGCTGGCAGCAGACAGGAAGTAAGGAGACAGGCAAGGAAGGAGTCACACTGGCGTCTCCATTAGGTGAGTGTGGTCCATGGAGTGGCTGGGGAGACTGGTATTGTCCCCAGTGGGGATATTAGCCCCTAGGGGCACCACAGTGGCCCTAGGGCGCACCACAGTGGCCCTGGAGGGCATCACAAGGGCCCTAGGGGGCAGGACGCACCTCACCACGTTCTCCCGAGAGATGCGCTTGCCGCTGCTACCTGAGAGGCCGGTCACCAGCGGCGTCACACTGCTGCTGTCTGCTGCCGCTGCTGTTTCAGGAGACTCCGGCCCTTGGGGTGACGGGAAGCCTCCGTAGCGATGGCTGGTGGAGGCTTGTCCACCCCCTGGTGCCTTCCACGGCACCGAGGCGCCATTCTTCAATGCTGGGTCTGAAGAGTGAGGGCCCCCGGGACACCGACCAGGTGAAGACCCTGAGAAGAGAGTGTGTTCCGCATCACCTGAAGCAATACTCAAACTCACCTAGGACACCCACCTCACACATTTACCTGAGACACTCACCTAAGACACGCACCTCACACACACCAGGAGAGTGTGTTCCGCATCACCTGAAGCAATACTCAAACTCACCTAGGACACCCACCTCACACATTTACCTGAGACACTCACCTAAGACACGCACCTCACACACACCAGGAGGCCTGGTCACAGACCGGGCCGAGGGGGCGTTGACCCCCGGAACTCTCTCCAGGTAAACTCCAGGTAAGGAAGGATAAAAAGGCACAATACTGTGACTGGAACAAAACACAAATTTCACTAGTCTACAAGAGAGATACTTTTAGTTTAGCCTTAATCTAGCGGTCAGGGGCCCCGAGACTGTTCAACTGCCTCCCAGCATACATAAGGGGGATTACCAATAGACCCCTGACAGTCTTCAAGCTGGCACTGGACAAGCACCTAAAATCGGTACCTGACCAGCCGGGCTGTGGCTCGTACGTTGGATTGCGTGCAGCCAGCAGTAACAGCCTGTTAGGTAAGACACATATGCAACAGTTAGGTATCTTTATTATGAAACGTTTCGCCTACACAGTAGGCTTCTTCAGTCAAGTACAGAAAAGTTGATAGAAGCAGAAGATACTTGAAGACGATGTAATCAGTCCATCACCCTTAAAGTTTTGAGGTGGTCAGTCCCTCAGTCTGGAGAAGAGCATTGTTCCATAGTATGAAACAATATGGAGATGAAGTAACAGGATGGAGCTTTTTATAGCGCCAAGAGGTGAGACGTAGGCCATATGTGTCTTACCTAACAACCTGTCGGTATTTTATACCATTTTAATGTTCAATCAGTCAGACACTGCAACACAAGGGTATCTTGGTACAGACCTGCAATCAACTTCGACAACTTCCACTAGTGAGAGTGGCTGGATTTGAGAGGGACCTGACCTCTCAGCATCTGAGTTCTTACCTCTCCTAGTGGCCTACGTCTCACCTCTTGGCGCTATAAAAAGCTCCATCCTGTCACTTCATCTCCATATTGTTTCATACTATGGAACAATGCTCTTCTCCAGACTGAGGGACTGACCACCTCAAAACTTTAAGGGTGATGGACTGATTACATCGTCTTCAAGTATCTTCTGCTTCTATCAACTTTTCTGTACTTGACTGAAGAAGCCTACTGTGTAGGAGAAACGTTTCATAATAAAGATACCTAACTGTTGCATATGTGTCTTATCTAACAACCTGTCGGTATTTTATACCATTTTAATGTTCAGTAACAGCCTGGTTGATCAGGCTCTGATCCACCAGGAGGCCTGGTCGCAGACCGGGCCGCGGGGGCGTTGACCCCCGGAACTCTCTCCAGGTAAACTCCAGGTAAACACCTGATACACTCACCTGAGGTTCGAGCATCGTTTCTTCAGCATTCACCCACAGGTACGCCTCCTCTTCCCCACCAGGTGTGGGAAAGTTTAAAAGACACCTCCCCATCCCTCACAATCCAACACTTCCATACCAGGTATGAGGACGCACCCCACACTTCCCCACCACGTGTGGGGTGATGTTCAGGGAAAACTCCCACGTTACCCCTCCCCCCACAACACTCAACCATGGTGTCTGCCTACCATAAAGACATCTGTAAACCCTCCTCACACACACACACACACCCACACACCACAACAACACACCAAAAACACACACACACACACCACACCCCACACACACACACACAAGTCGTCAGCAGACGTGGGTCACAAGGCTCCGGGGAACTTTAGTGGTTTTTAAGTCGTGCAGTAAATGTTTAGCATTTAATAGTGGTAGTGACAACGTCAGTGAACAACCCTTACGAGTGATAACCAGAGTTATTAGTTAAAAAAAGTCGAGAGGAAGCCTGAATCTTTAATATTTCAAAGTGTCAAACCGTTAGTGGCTAGTAGGCTTCTGTTGCTAACAGATTCAAATATACAAAGATTCAAGTGAGTGTGGAAAGCGGGGTGTTCAAGAATTTTGAGAGATTGGATAAAAAGTGAATTGTGGGGAACCATACAGTGAGAGTGAAAAAGTTAATAAGAAAAAGTAGAAAGGAAAAATATAATATATACAAGGGAAGGTGGCAGTAGGCCTGCTGAAACAGTGACGTCACACAGTTGTGTGACTTTATACATATAAAGTGTAATCCCGAATGTGAAGTGTATTCCAATAAGTGAAGTGTATTCTATCATAAGTGACATTGAGGGACGCGGGATGCATGAGCATATACGGTTATAAAGATCACAGGTAAAGAATTTTCAAAATAGTGATAGAAGGAGTGTGTACGGACGACTACGTCATCAGCATCTGGCAACTTGTCATCGCATCACTGCCAGCTTAAGTATCACTCACCTGTTGGGTTGTTTTGGGGGTTCTGAATCTGCCTTGCATCACTGTTAGATATGGTCACTCACTCCTGCAAGCTATTACAGAATTAGAGCAGAAATACCCATAGATAAGGTGAAGATAGTGTTGACTAGGAGGAGCAGCCTAGCGAGGGGAACCCTAGCGAGGGGAAGCCTAGTGAGGGGGGACGTCAGACACTCCTAGAAGCTGAGACAAGCTAAATTTTACAACCTAATTACTTTCTGTGTTTTTAAGTAGAAGTGCTAGAATCATGTTGGTAGTTTTAGAAATCGGGTATTACAAATGATATTTATTAGCAGTATGAATACTTAGAAGGGGGGGGGCACACATACACACTGCGCACACACACACCACACACACACACACACAACACACACATACACATACACACACACACACACACACACACACACACACACCCCACAAAACATACAGACACACACACACCCATATACAGGATTTCACACCTTCCTGTAAAAGTGATCCTCAAAACCCTTCCTTCCCCCCCCCTGCCTCTCTCCCTCTCCTCTCCTCTCTCTTCCTCTCTCTCTCTCTCTCTCTTCTCTCTCTCTCCCCTTTCTCTCATCCTCTCTTCCTCTCCCTCTTCCTCTCTCTATTCCCTCTCTCTCTTCCTTCACTCTCTCTTCCTCTCTCTTCCTCTCTTCCCTCTCCCTCCCTCTCCCTCTCTCTCTCCCCCTCTCTTCTTCCTCTCTTTCTCTCTCTCTCCTATTTCTCTCCCCTCTTCCCTTGTCACTCCCCCTCTTACCTTTTCCCTCTCTCTCTCACTTTCTCCCCCTTTTCCCCTCCCTATACCCTCCCCTTCTCTCTCTTTCTCCCTCTCTCTCACTTCTCCCCCTTTTTTTTTTTTCACTTTTTCTTTTACTAAAAAAAAAAAAAAAAAATGGGTTGGGAAACTCGCAGGAATCGGGATAGAGGACAATGGTACTGGTGGGGAGGAATGGATGGAGGAGCAGTGGAAAAGGATAGAGCATGAATGGGAGAGAAAATTAGGAGGCTTTCTGAAAAAATGGAGAAAGAGCTCTCTGTGAAAAAGGGGGAAAGAGGTGGAAGGAGACGAAGAATTGGGAGGCACAAATCGAAACTGCAGTAGCCGGGTAAAGGTCCTAGAATTTGAGGTAAACAGGCTGAAACAAGTTCAGGGGTAGTGACCAGAGAAGACCACCATACGATGATGAGAGGCTGAACAGGAAGGAAGGAGATATGAAATAGCTAAGGTCCTATCAGCATGCAAAGAAGGGCCAGGGGGTGAAGGGAAGAGCAGGATGGGTGCAGATGGAGAGGAGTAGGTCGAATGCTGAGGCACAACCATGCTACCAAGAGCCACTGGGAAAATCAAGGGAGGAAAATGACCCATACAGACAGGAACAAGAGGGCACAGAGGGAGAGGCAATGGGAGGGGAAAGGGCAAAATCAGTGTTTATCCCTGGGCTTTGGGGAGGAGAGGAAAGGCACACACTGAAAAACGGGAGGAAAAAAGAGAAAGGAGATTGAGAAAATCATCACGGAAATAGGGGGGAAAAAACATGGACGAGATTGTAAATTTTCAGAGAATAGGGGGGTACTTTAAGGGGAGAAACCGACCCGATCAAGCTGATTCTCAGGACAGAAAAAAGTGAGGAACAGGATCCTCCAAGAAAAACCACGGTTGAGAAGCTCGGAAGAGTACAGAAAGGGGTTCCCAGACAGAGAAGAACACAAAAAGGAGACAGCAGCTGAGGGAGAGGACAAAAAGCGAAAGGAGTAGGAAAGGAGACAAGGATGGAACCCGCAGAGGTCAGTCAGAGCAGAACAGAGCAGCAAGGGGCAAGCACACACACAATATCCTCAGAACCCACAACCCATCACACCATCCCAACACCAATACAATCCTACCCCAGGGTTCCACCCAACCCCAACCATAGAATCCCACAGTATGGGTACCGGTCTCCCCCCCCCACAGGCCCCCCAAACCACAGTGTTGGAGAGGAAATGAAGGTATGGTACACCAAAAGCTGATGGAATAAAAAAACAAGTGGGGGGAAATGGCACGAAAGGTCAAAGAGGCATCACCAGACATCATAGCAATCACAGAAACCCAAACTTACAGGTATGATAACAGATGCCATCTTCCAACGGGATACCAGATCCTGAGGAAGACAGAAGGAAAGGGGGGGGGGGAGGAGTGGCTTGCTGATCAAACCCCGTTGGAAATTTTTTGATGAGCGGAGAGAGGAGACGCGGGAAAAAAAAGTGATTGCATAGTGGGAAACGCTTCACTTGGGGTCCAAGGTGATAATTGCAGTGATGTATAACCCACACAGAACAGCAGGAGGCCAAGGCAAGAGTTTGCCCGAGAGCAATAGAGCGATGGTTGACACACTGGCTTGCAGTGGCCAGAAGAGTATACATGCGGGCAAAGCTCCTGATAATGGGCGAACTTTAACCACATGGGGGGTCGAATGGGAGAAACTTGGAGCCACAGGGGGGCCAAAGATACATGGAGGGCTAAGATGATGGAGGTGGTACTGAAAACTTATGTACCAACACGTAAGGGACACTACAAGAGAGAGAGGAGAGGATG